GGAACCATCAGCTTAAATTGGTTTTAGTTTTTATGGTGATTGTTGCTAAAAGCATCCTATTTAATAAAATGACTTTGCAATATTTTTAAAAATGAGAACAGATTTCTAAGCCTTTCAACTTCTTTAATCCCTTACAGAACACAGAAGCCCAAGACCACAAGTCTGCTGTGACTTGGTTATAGGTCTCAGCAGAAATCAAAGAGAAGGACTCTCAAGGGTGCCGTGGAAGCTCCACCCAGGGCAAGGGTGTGTTACTATAGTACAATTCTGCTTGCTATCACTGCTCAAATATTTTGAGCATGGCATGCTTTGGGTTTCCTGTCTATGGGTTGGGTTCTGTGTCCCTCAGACACACTGTGGGCATGGGAGGTGACAGCTCAGCACAGGGTCCTCTGAATACTTTGGAGGGGACAACTCTGTCCTCCAGGAAAAGCCAGTCAGGTTTGGGAGGGCTCAGGTGTCCCTGCTGCTTGCTCCTCCCTAACTCATGGGAACTGCATGCTGTCTTCACCTTAAATTCTCTGTCCAGGTATTGTCCTCACCTGGTGGACTCAAGGTCCATCCAAACTTGGGTTTGGATGCTGTTGGGTTTTGTTTATGTTGGATGCTGATAATCTCAGCTCATCCACCACTGTGATTGTGCCAAAGCCTTCTGTATTCACCCCACAGATGACAACACCAGCAGCAGCTCTGCTTAGCCTCCTTTAGTGCAGCTTCTCTCACAGATGAGGGAAGGGCACGGTGGCCAACCTGACCGAGCGCCCAGTGGCTGAGTCTGCGACTGTGTGAGTAAACACAAATGATAATAATCATGGCTGTAGCCCACAGAATAAAATAAACATCTACAGGCCATATCCAGATAAGTAGTTGGACAAATAAAGATAGGAGAGAGAAGGGGCAGCTCTTTCTTTTTTTTTTTTAATTTAATTTTTTTAATTTAAAGAGAAAGAAACAAAAAAAAAATACATGGAGATAAAAAAGAGTAGAAATAATACAGAATTACAGAAAAATAAATGGTAAGAAATCGCCAGTTGATAAGTTACATATTGTCATCTTAGAAATAGCTGTTCAGGTTACAAAAATAAGTATGTAAAATGACATTCAAATAGTGACACTGCCAACAGTTCTGCTCAATGATCTAACAAAAAGTAATATGGTTATCAGTCCTACACACTTGTTTTTTATCTTAAAGAGGGTAAGATTAAACATATCAAAACAGAACAAAACGTTTCAAAAAAAAAACAATTTAAAGAAATACAGATTTCAAAGCAAGTCCACTGGAGATCTTCACTGTTTATCTAATTGTCTCTAGTTTCTTCCAAATAGTTGTCCCCATCTTCATGCACATTAAATACATACTGCATATTATAGAACTAATCAAATCATTACGGGATGATGAAGGCTTTTTAGGTCTTCAAGATCTGACATTGGGGAAGACAATAATAACTACCATAGTGTCTCTCATTCTCTCCGTAGTAGCTGTCCTTATCTTTACATATGCTGAAATTGAGCTTAAGAGACTAGACTAATATTACTCTGATCAGTGAATAATAGTATTGCTAGATTTTATATCATAATGCTACAAAATTAGCTTTGGGTTTCTTAGTGTCTCTTCTTCAGAGTATCTGTTCATTACATCTTACATTATATAATCTGTTCTCGTAAATAAAAAAAATCTTAAAAAATCTTCTCATATGTGAATTTCTACATGTATATCTATCCTGTCTGTATTATAGGGAAAAACAAATCATAACAAGACAGCAAAACAAATTCCTAGAAAAACATGCAATGAAAAAGACACATAAGACCACAATATTAGGTGATGTACCATAGTTACTATGCTTTCTCTTGTTATTTTCAATAGATTTGTCCACATCATCGGGCTTAATATAGTTAAACATAGTATTACCTAGCTATTTTTTTTTGTCTTTTTCATTTTTATCAGTACCGGGGATCGAACTCACGACAGCCTGCCTGCTTGCAAGGCAGGTGCTTATGCCACTGAGCTAAATCCCCAGCCCCTACCTAGCTATTTTTATAAAAACACAACTTTGAAAACATTATAGGACTTGAGAGCTGTTAATAATAAATACCAGTATGGATATCTTTTACATCTTGTCATCTTTGGAGTAGTTGCCTCTACTTTTAGGGTTGGTACTATCAAGCATACCAAATTCAAATAAAATCAGCCAAAAAGGCAAAACCACGATCTTATGAGTCGGATTCAAATAAGATCAGTCATAGTAAGACAATGTAAGTAATACAGGATTTCAGTTTAAGTTAATAGGAAATTAAGGATAGTTACCATGGTATAACCTGCTATTTTGGGGTCAGATGTCTGTGCCCTCAAATCTGATATAAGTGGACAGACCAGATCAAATTAAATTCAAACTAAACAGGGTGATAAGACTACTGTGTCTTTTAAATCCTGATACACTTTTAACAATGACCTCTGCCTTTTTTATAGTGTATCAAAGATATCTATACTAAAAATTATAGCTTACCATCTCTGCCTCACGTCTGCTACTCTACTTTACTGCTATAATTTGTCCACCTTACTCCCTCATTCCACTGTCTGCCCTGTTCATTGAGGCTTCTCTGTCTCTGTTGCTGGAATCCTGGTATTCCTTCCTCTCTTTTTCTGGAATATCCTTCAGCACTCTCTGTAGGGTTGAGTTGGTGGCCATGAACTCCCACAGTTCCTCCTTGTCTTGGAAGCATCTTATTTCTCCATTAATTTTGAGAGAGAGTTTTGACGGGTATATGAATCTTGGTTGCATATTATTTTCTTTCAGGACTTGGAATATTTCTGCCCATTCCCTTCTTGATTTAAGAGTTTGTGTTGATAAGTCTGTTGTTATTTTGATAATTTTCCCGTTGTAGGTAATCTGCTTCTTTTCCCTGGCTGCTTTTAATATTCTGTTCTTTTGGTGGATTTCTGGAATCTTGATTATTATATGTTTGGGTGTAGGTCTGTTTTGGTTGTAGTTAGCTGGTGTTCTGTATGCCTCTTTTATCTGGATATCATTTCTTTTTGCTATACATGGGAAATTTTGCTTTAATATATCTGTGAATATTCTTTGTATTTCATTTTTGGTTGCTCCTGCTTCCTCACTCACATGCTTTATTCTTAAGTTATGTATCCTTTTGTCATCTTCTAGCCTTTGAATTGTTTCTTTCTGGTTCCTTGTTATTTTTAAGAGGTCTTTTCTTTCATGATCATATATCATAAATCTCTCTTCAAGTTTCAAAAGGCTAACTTTAGTTTCTGTCAAGGCATTTTGCCAGTGTTCAATGGAGTTTTTAGTTTCCTGGTAATCTCTTTGGATCTGTTTCATGTATTCTAAGTTATGTTTAAATTCTTCAGAAGTTTCTCTTTCTTTTCTGATTTCCTCTGTTCTTCCATCTGTGTTCTCTTGGGCGGGGCTTGTCATTTCTTTAATTAATCTCTTTATATCTTGCCTCACTTGGATCAGGAGTACAGCTTTAAATTCATCTATGAGGTCATGGAGGTATTTTTTTTTTTTTTTTATTTCGGCTGATGCTGTGTCCAGTATTGGTTGGTTACTGTGCTTGTTCTCTTCAGTGTTTACTTCTCCTGGGCTCATTTTCTCATGTTGGGAGATTTTTTTATGTTTATCTCTTGTCATGTTTCTTGTTTCTTTCAGACTGGAGTGTCCTGGGCGTCTCTGGCCCTCTCCGTATTGCTTAGGGCATTTCAGAAGCGTGCTGACTTACTTTTTTGCTGTCCTCCCCAATTTGCTGTTATCTGGGGTAGGCAGGGATGCAGGGTCAGTGCAGGCTAGCCTCCAACCTCTGTGCCAGTCAATCTGCAAACTAGGCTGTACTTTGTGGATGTCACAGAGTCGCGACTATTTTGTATCTGCTTATTGGGTCCCAACCAGAGGCTCGGTTCAGCTCCAGCAGATCCTGTCAGCTCTTTCTGTGCCAGAAGCAGCTGACTAATGTCACCATGGCACAGGGCTCTGCCCAAATCCCATCTGTCCTCTACCAGACCTCTCTGTGCCAGGAGTGACTATCTAATTGGGCAGCTCTTTCTTACAGTAGAATTCCAGCTATTCAATTGCCAGGGAGTGACTGGAATATAAATTGTATGACGTGACCACTTGATGGACATCACAGTGCTTGCTGTAGGTATGGACCAGGGATAGAAGCAAAAATGAGTCCAGGGACAGTGCATGTTTTAGGGGCTCAGAGAATGTCCCCTCTGGCTTGCAGTGGTAGCAGCAGTATCTGCACTGGAGAAATTGGGTGGGTACCTATGTGACAGTCCTGCCCTACATGCATCACCTCAGCTAAGCATGAGAGAGTGACACCCAGACCCCAAACAAGGCCAGTTGCTGAATATCTGCCAGGGATTCTCCCAGAGGGCCAAGGTCACGATCCCTAGACTGACAAGGTCTCCTAGACCACAGGGCCCCAAAAACCATGCTGCTGAAAGGATGTGTAATCTGGATTCTTGAGTGACCACTGGCAAATCCGAACGTTGCCTCTAAGTCAGGTAATAGCACTGCACTCGTATTAACCTCTCAGATGAGATCACATCCCATGGTTTTGTATAGTGTTCACATTTAGGAAGCTAGGTGCAGGTGTACTGGTACTAGTTTTGCAAACTTTTTGCAGAGCTAAAACATGTGTTACAAAGTCAGAAGAATAATACTGTATGCTAGAGTCATCTGCTTCTGCTCAGATCACACGCCTTCTCAGCTGTGTGAATTGGGGGAAATAAGCTTATTTCTTCTTCTCTTAGTTTCCTCATCTGTAAAATGAGAATAAAATAGTGCTCACCTACAAAGGTCATAAAGGAGATTAAATGTGTTGCGGTGCTTAGGACTCAGTACCTGGCTCCCAGCAAAGGCTAACACTGCTACTTGTAATTATGTAATTATTGCCTTCTATGAGCCTAGTGCTAGCTCTCTCTCTCCCTCCTTTCCCACTCTTCCCTCCTCTTTCCTTCTCTTCTCTTCTCTTTTCTCCTCCCCCGAGAGGGAGAAAGTTTCTCATGTGGGCTGTGGGGCTGATTTTGTTCCCCCACCACCATTCTGAGAAGACCAAGTCAAGCATGAGATTTATGTCTCAAGGATTATCCACTTTTACAACTGGAATAGGTTTTCCCTGTTAGAGCTGTGGCCTGGGAAATACTTGCATTAGAAAGGCAATGTTCAGCCCACCCCAATGCTCTTGGGGCCTACTGGCCTCCTCCACATGGGGCTGCAGACCTCTGGGGTCTGTGGGCAGCAGCTCTGATTGGTTTTGGGCATGTGTGTGTGCACATGTGTATCTGTCTCATGATGGCTTGGCAGAGCTCTCATGTCAGGTCATATTTTTAGGATTCACTGGCCAATCAGACTGCAGGACAGCTTCAGTCTCTGCTTGGGCCTTGCCTTTGATGTCACAATCTGTCTGTGTATGTTAATCTGGCTGCAGCGGCTCACAGACCAGAACAGCAGGATCAAGGGGACCAGCACAGTAAGATGTGGAAGAGGATGGACCACCTGTCCAAGATCAAAGCTGGGGATGGACTCAAGGCGGGCCAGTTCAAGGCTCTGGGGTCTGCTAGGGACCCAGCCACACCACCCCCAGAGAATGTATCGGGACTTCAGAGCTTCCCCGTGCTGGAGGACATCAGCCACTACATCAAAGACGCGGGGGCCCAGCTGGTGAAGAAAGTCAACGCCATCTTTCAGCTGGATATCACCAGAGATGGGCAGATCATCCTGCAGTGGACCATTGACCTGAAGAACAGAGCTGGGGACATGTATCCAGGACCTGCGGGGCTCCCAGCAGACACGGTCTTCACTATCCCGGAGTCTGTCTTTATGGAGTTAGTGTTGGGGAAAATGAACCCACAGAAGGCTTTTTTGGCTGGCAAGTTCAAAGTGAGTGGCAAAGTTCTCCTCAGCCAAAAGCTGGAGAGGGTTTTCAAAGATTGGGCTAAATTTTAAGCATGCAAAAAATGTCAACGTAAAAAACAAAAACTTCTCTCTGATGATAATGTTGAATGGGAGTCATGCTTAAAATGAAGATTAAAGTAAAAAGAACCCAATTTTTTTACTCCAATTCTTCCTATTCAGACGTGATTAATTTTCCCGCTGCTATACACTTTTGCAGTGAGAGCCATGGAGCAGTAAAGAGCACTGGACTACATCACCTCAAATCTTGGTCTTTTTCTTTTCCTAGCTCCATTTATTCTTTAATGAAAGGGGGTGAAGCCACATGTAGTAGGGTGGGTGATGCTGGGAGCTGCATTTAAATGCTCCGATGATTGAGTTCCTAAGACTTTTCTAGTTTTGAAGTTTGATGATTTGGGGAAAGAGTGATTCACTGTGCAAGTCTGTGTACCACCTGGGAGGCTGAGGTGCTGCAGGGCTTTTTAAGGGTGGAATCTGGCATGGTGAGGTTCTGAAGGAGTCAACTCTAGGACAGCTGAAAGGTGATCTAGGCCACTGATTCTTAGCCTGGGGCATGCACCAGAGTCACGTGGAAGGTCCGTTTGAGTGTAGGCTGAACAGGGCCACCTCACAGACTCTCCTCCTTAGGTGGGGGCTGGGGAGAGTGTGTGCTGCGACTGTGTTCCTGGGAGATGCTGAAGGACTGCCCTGCCACCCACCTTCACGCAGAGCCCTCAGGGCTGGCTGCAGCTCTTGCCCTCAAGGCCAGTGAGTCTGTGCTCCTGTTTGCAGGATCTCCTGGAGATGGATCACAGGGCCCTCTCTGAGTCGTTTCTAATATGCTGATGCTGTTGGGACCTTGTGCATGGAGAATTTTACAAAAACTGCAGAGATTTTCCCTCCCGGGGCACCTCTTCAGGAGACAGCCTGGGAGGAAGCTATGTGATCTAAGCAGTGAGTGTGTGTCCCTGGTTTCCATGTGGTCGGAGGATAATTTTTTATCTTGTAGATTACATATGCAGCACGGACACTGAAACCCCACAGGAGAGGTGCATCTGGACTCTGGGCTCAGACCTCTGCCTACTGTCTTAGTCTGTTGTCAGTGCAGTAACAGAGTACCCAAGACTGAGTAATTTACGAGAGTTTATATGATTCAGGGTTTTGGAGGTTGGGAAGTCCTGGGGGTCTGAGGAGGTGTTCTTGCTATACTCTAATGTGGCAGAGTGTCACACAGGGAGACTCATGCTAGTGCAAGTCTCTCTTCTTCTAAAGCTACTAATGCTCTGGCAGGGGCCTCACCCTTATGACCTCACCTAACCCTGATTATTTCCTGAAAACCTACCTCCAAATACTGTTAGCATTTTGTGGAGCTCCTACCAAATAATCCAGCCATTCCACATATAGATATGAGAGCTATATGCACAAATATAAGACCTGGTACGATGTCCATAGGGAAATGGACCAACAGAGAGGGGTGCTTCATACCATGGAATATTTTAGCAATAAAAAGAAAGCATTAATATATGTGTAACAAAATGGACAAAAGTCAAAATATACCGAGTGAAAGGAGCCAGAAAAACCCAAATAGATAATATATGATTCTACTTATAAATGCTAGAAAATGCAAATAATAGGGATGGAGAAAAGATCAGTGGTTTTCAGGAAATAGGGGAAGGAGGTGGGAAGGATGGGAGGTGTGGTTAGTGTGAAGGGCCATAAGGGAATTGGGGTGATGGATAGATTCATTATCCTGATGGGGGTGAAGTTCACAAGTGTATACCTAGGTCAGAACATCAAACAAGGCATTTTCTGTATACCCAGGTCCTTTATTTTGTGTCAGTGTAGGAGAGTGACACTGTCTTGGAAACCTCAAGACTGCTCAAAGTGAGGGCTTGGTGTGATTATGTCCCAGGGGGCATCTGAGCTCCAGAGCACCTAAACTCATTGTGACTCAGTTCCTAAGCCTGATTTGTGCGGCCCTACAGGGCCTTCCTGGCGTCTCCATATTAGAAACAGGCAGGGTGAGGGCTTGTTGCTCACACAATAGCATCTTCTCCTGTGGTCGCTCTACTCAGTGGCGAGACATCCCCAAGGCTGGTGGTGGAGGCTGGCTGCTTCCTGTGTCTCCTCCCAGGCATCTGGAATTTGATGACCTGTGGATGTGCCTGCACTGGCAGCTGTGGATGTTCCAGGCCCCTGACCCTATGAGTACTATTGGGTGTTTAGCTCTGCAGGCCCTGGTTGCTTGGCGCGAGGTGCATTTATGAAGCTTCCAGCAGGGGGCAGGGCAGCTATTTGGGGCACTATGCCCTCATTCCTTTTATTTATTTTTAATTTTTTTATTTAAAGAAAAAAAAAAACAAAACAAAACAGTAAAAGGGTACAAGTAATACAAAATTTCAAAACAAAACCCAGTAAGAAATCAATAGTTAATAGATTACATATTGTCATCTTAGAAATAGTTGATCAAGTTACAAAATTAAGCATACAAAGTGGACATTCAAACAGTGAGACTGCAAGCAGTTGTGATCCAACAAAAACTTAGTAATATGGTCATCTATCTTACACACCTAAACACATTTGCAATTGTGTCCTTTAGAGCACTTTCTTTTCCTCTCTTTTTTTACAATAACATTTACACATTTTGGATTTTATTACTCCCACAGTTCTTATTCCTTTTTTTTTTGAAGAGAATAAAACCAAATGTGACAAAACAAAGTAGTCAGTCAAAACAAAGGATAGACATAGTACATGATGTAAAAACAAAATACAACGTAATCAACAGTGGTTACCATAATGCCTCTTGCTATCTTAAAAAGAATTGCCTGTATCATCAGGTATAATAAAATTGAACAAAACAGTACAGAACAAAACCAATAAAACCTAAATATTGGAGACATTACAGGACTTCAAAAGAAGATAATAGTCAACCAGAATGAGCATCATAGTGAATCTTATTGCCTTCAAAGTATTTGCCTATACCCTCAAAATCGATACTATCAAACAGAACAATAGAGTAAAATGAGTCATAACAAGTTGGTGAGAGCAATACAGGGCTTCAAATTGAGTTAATAGGAAATCAAAGTGGGTTACTATAATATATCCTGCTAATTTTTAAAAAATTTTCTGCTTAAAAAATAATAATAAAAAATAAATTTTAAAAAAGAGGGGAGATTGAGATAAAAGAGGACATAACATGACAGTACAGGTCAGAACAGAACAATTTAAGCAACAGTGTTTTACCACAAGATAACTCAACTTAATAGTAGTTACCAGTGTCTCTTTCCTTGAAATATTTGAGTATAACTTCGTATACTATAGCATCAAACATATCAAGACAGTGTGAAACCATTCAAGAGGATGAAAGTATTACAAGGTGTTTAGAACCAGCTAACAGAAAACAATGGTTTCTATATTATCTCTTTGCCAATAAAAATTTTTGTTTATACTATCACATATAATAAAATCCAATAAGATACAACATGATAAAAGCAATGGAGACAGAAAAGTAACAGTTTGATGGGACTTCAAAACAAGATGATATTAAATCAGCACTAGCTATTATGATGTCTTGTTTTCTTCAAAATAGTTGTTCATATCGTCATTCCTTTTAGACGCCCAAGCACCTGCTCCCAATCCCCCTGCTCAGACCTTGAGCTGCCATGGCCCCTGTTGATTGGCCCTGAGACAGGGTTGCTTGGAGGTGGGATATAAGACAGAGCATAAGGTGTCACCCTGGGTCATGGCTGGGGTGGCACCTGATCCATTCTGATTTGAGACAAAATAGTGGTCCCAGCACTCAGATTCCTTTCTTTGAAAGTTGGAATTGGAAAAGGAGAGACTGAGGTACAAGCAAGCCAGGGGATGGAAGCTAAGGCTGTGAGGAGCCAAGGGAAGCTGTGGGGTGGGGTCTCACAGCACAGCTGTGGGGAGGAGAGCAGGAGGTTGAGCTAACTGGTTGACCTAGGGAAATGTGACCCACAGCAGGCCCTGCTCAATGAGAGGAGGCAAAGCCTGCAAGCGAGGGGATCTGGGAGGGCTCAGGTTTTGGAGCTGCAGCTGTGGTTTGGAGCACAGGGTCACCACTCAGATCTGCATTGTCACAATAGTGACTGAGCTGCTTCCTTCTCTGGAAACAGCTGCAGAGGCCTGGCAGGGGGCAGGCTGAGCCCTCTGTCCCAGGAGGGCTCCATAACTGGGAGCTCCAGGGTGTTAGGCTTGCTGGCTTCCATTACCTCCCAGCAGTCCACACTCAGGAATTGCATGCCTCCTTGCAGGGGCCTCTCTGCTGTCATCCACACCTGGTTCAGGGCACTCATCGGCCCTGCATTTGGTCTGCACAAGGCTGGACAGCACAGGGTCTGTAGCGTCTGAATGAGGATATAAAAATTGGATTTCTAGATTCTCTCCAAAAATAGGATTTTTGGTCATGTGCATCTGTAATCTTGACAGGAACCAGCTTATTGTGGGAGTGAGGTGGGCTTTCTGCGCAGATCTAGACCACGCTCAACATCCTGGACCCTGATGCTGTGTTTTGGAATGGTGCTTTCTTAGTTGGCCTGCCTCAAGGGGCCCCCTGGGGATTTGTGTCCATGACCACTGATCCTTATGACTAAGTAGTCTTTCTCTGCTTGCTCACTGGAAACCCCTCTTGGTTTTCTCTGGGCGTACAAGTCACCACCAACTTGGTCACTTAAACAACACCTGTGCACCCTCTCAGTGATTGCAGGGCAGAAGTCTGGTGGGCTCGGCTGGACTCTTTAATGCTGGTGTCAAGGACTTGACCTGGCTGGGCTTCTCCTGGGACTTGAAGAATCAGCCCCCAGCTCGCATTTGGCTTCAGTTTTTCATGGTTGTGGGGCTGAGATCTCTGCTTCCTTGCTGGGTATCAGTGAGGGATGTGGCCTCAGCCCCTGTGGCTGCCTCCTCCTCCTTGATCATGTGGCTTCTCCGGCTGCAGCCAAGTCTCTTCGGCCATAGAAGGTAGTGCTATGGCCCCGATCCCATTTCACACATGGACCGCTCACTCCCAAGATGATGCTCTTTGGAGGTGGAGACATTGGGAGGAGATTAGCGCTGGAGAAGATACTCAGGCCCAGCCCTCTCTGTGCCATAATCCTTGGGAGCACAGGAAGACACCTAGCAGGCTGGAGCTCCACCCTGCCCCACCATTGTGAGGCTGCAGCAAGAAGGCGAGGTGTCTCCTAGTATGCAACGCCTGGTCCCAAGCTTAGTCTCCAGTGCTGTAGAGGAGC